CAGCAAACAGTACACAGGAAAACATAATATAAAATAGGTAGGTACATAGGCACCTTTTGATCGAAATACCTATACATATTTTTACAAGGACTAATTTGAGCATTAAAACGCTCTACAAGTATTTCAGCTATGACTAGTTGTACACACGCGGCTTTACTTGGGTACCCCCACACGTTATACATTCCACACAAACTCATAGAATTATTTTCGTGCGATAAAATATTTATGTTTACGTAATTATTAATTAATCCATATTAAGTGCAATATTATATTGTGGTGTGTACAAACATTCAAATCTGAATGCTTACTGTAAATCTTAACTTGTAATATAGGGATTTTTAGCCTACGCGGTGTTGTCGGCAGTGTTGAAATAATGTACGTATACTCAAGCTGCATACACTGATGATAAAATAGATGCCTGGAAATTAGAGTCCTCATAGCCCAAAGCAAATAACGTGGTACCGGCTGGTGTTGTTATGTGCTTACATAGCACATGTATATACATTTACGTGTATGTGGCTGCCGTAAAGACAGCCGAACAAAGCGCAGGTGCACCGAATGGGCAGTGCGTCTGCGTTGCAGGCCGGGCGAGGCGCGCGGAGGGAGCGACATCGCTCTCTGTGCAACCAAGTATCAGTTTCCAAACGCTTTGTCGACCCGGCCACTCTTACTATTTCTTACTCATCGCAGTCCCTACGTAGGATGATGCTACACTACTTCACAAATATCAGTATATGTATATTATACACGCGTTCTTATATCGTAAACAAGATAATAATTGGCAACAGTAAGTTCTCGTCAATGAATTTTGCTGTCTGCGGCCCGTGCAGCCGTGCTGTCAAGTCAGTGGCTACTTACTATCCAAGTCATTCAATATGGTTGCTTGCAGCCTTGAGGCTACGCTCAGATGTTTTCAGCATGTCAATGTTATACAAAATTTGCTATTTTACATAATTACTCGTTTAATTTCGCATTAATTTTGAGTAGCAAGTTACGCGGGCCGTCGTCAATATAGCCTCTGTTTTTTTCGATTCTGTGTAAAGCGCTTAGCGTGCTTAGCAACCTTATAATATAGATCAATTATAACAATATTTGATCCTGTTATTATTTAATATAGAGCTGGGAGGCGTATGGCGGGTTTTACTCTGTTTTATTATAAAGGAATTTGTCTCGTGTTGTGCCTTGGCATGATCCGCAGCGACACGCAGTGCAGCCCCTGAAAGTTCAGGCATCGCGCCCGCGGTACGCTAGTACAGGGTTGTATGTTGTACCCCTTCAGGCCTGGGTACAACATCCGCGGAACATATCACTAGTTATTTACACACAATAGAAGAAAGTGATTGAAATCACTTGTTTAAATAATATAGCACAATTATTGCATTCCTCAAGGGCCGATTGAGATTCTCTATTCATAAAACTGAATGAGACTAGGTAACTACGTGTTTGAGCAGCTTGTGAGCGTTTGTACTAGGCACGGGGACCATAGTCACATTTTACAGCACTACAGCACTGCAGGCGAGATCCTGGACAATGCGTATGTCGGTCAAGGCAGAGGTTCGAGGTCTATGTGCCAGCTCCCCACGAAGATAAGCTCGCTTACGCTCGTGCAAATAGTAAACATGTCCAAACATCAGTTTTGGTTAATATTTTGTTTCAGTTTTATCTGATAACGCGGCAGTTTATCTCAGGACTTCCTCTCGTTCGCTGTATAATGATCGACTAGCAACAGTCTTCGGAGCTATCACGCGCGCACAACTGTGATCTTGAATATATCTAATTAAATATAATTACTATATTATGTGCGCTGAGACTTTTTGTATAATTATAATATTATTTCCCAGAGGACAGTCTTCAACCGTGTTACTTTATACCTATATACATATATTTATTAATACAATAGGTTTTTTATACCCCGGTGACGGAGACCAGTTTCACAACAACAGTTTAGTCTGCTGCTGTTTGCACGCTTCCAGAAGTATACCTTGAGCCGTATAAGCTCGTGGTTCAATGTTGTACGCAGGTCTAAACGAGGGGAATGTCAAAATGTTCGTTTATTCTTTAAATAATTTACGCAATAACATTAATTAACAGTGACAGCTCGTCAGAACATGACTTGCATGTGTAGTTCAATTACTTCAATGCAAAACTGCATAGCTCAATACTTAAATCTGAATATAAGTATTTTATTTATATCCGCCAATTTCTAATGAAAAACTAATCATCAGTTCGGTACTATGATAGATCCAAGAATAAAATTTCCGGTGATAAATATTTTAGGACTAAACGCTTTTTCTTTTTCTGGAGTAGATGTGAACCAAGCAGATAGCCGTCCATACACTCGCAATACCAGAGTCACAACTGCCTTAAAATTAAGTAGGTATTACTCCGTGTTGTTAAACCAGAAGAAAAACATTTTTTTGCTTGTGGCTAGAGGCTGGGTGGTGACTTATGTTGATCTGTGACGACACAAACATAAATCAAGCCTAAATGTCCCGCAAGTATGCACGTGCGATCATTCAGTGCAGTACTCAACTAAATTATAGGTTTAGGGGAATTCGATTAAAGTAGATGCTTACATGGCTACTTTCAATAAACAGTTATCATTTGTTTGGGCAGACTTTTAATTACTTGTCGAACTTCGGTATTTCCCGCGTAGTACTCGGTGTAACGCAAATAACATTATTTGAATGCTGAAGTATATACTATTTATATAGTATTAGCAATATAGTGCATAGATCACCACTATAGAGGGCACTGTGTACACACTCTTTGGAGGAATACCTCTCATGGAATGAAATAACTGGCTGTTGCTGAACCAACCCAGGTGAGAGTTCATAACTATGCAATACTTATGTAAGTTACAAGTTTCGAGCATTTTTCTTTTTCTTAGTTGTATTATGTAATAGCAGCACTAGGCACTAAAACTAGCCCAAACAAAGGAGCCGGCTGTAACTGCTTCATAACATTTTGTAACAAACACAACTTTCTGTTAACAAATACAACTGCCTTGTCTATACTGCAGGTCCACTGAGAGCAATGATTTGCTCTACATTTTATGAAAACTGATAACTAATACAATTTACTTATAATTACTATAATATCTAATAATATAAAATGTGCTCAAATCTTTCGAAAAAGTGTATAGGAAATTGTGCTTTAAGTGAATCTCGAAGCCAAAGAAAAATATAATTTTGTATAACATTAAAATGACAAAAGCTGCAAATAAAGAAAATGCACCTTTATTCCGTTATTATAAGATGTATCAAACTACCTAGTATAATTTTGTTGTTGCATTGTTAATAAAATTAATTTATGAATACAGGAACACAATCATACTATGCATTTTAATAATAATATCAAGAATATTTAAATATATTATGTAAGAGAAACAAATATTAATGTTTGTACCTAAATAAAACAACTAATATTATGTGTTCAATATTGATACAAGGCAGAGAGAAATATTCCCAGGACAGTAAGAATTGATGAAGGAAAATCATGTTAAATATTATTTTTGAGGTCAAGTTATCAAGCGGTGAAACATCACATCCTCCTGTACAAGTGTCCAACGTATTGTACGGTCGGTACCAGTAGGTACAGCATGCTATATTTATATGAGAAGGTACTTTGTGTGTCATACTCAAGTAGATTAGTTCGTCGGCTACAGAGTCAACACTTAGCAACAACATTCAAATATATAAATTCTATGTTTCTATTAATGTGCTTACATTCAGTGTCTGTACAACTCACTGAAGCTCTATCCCATAAAATAATTAATCCTCAATAAGTGCATTATAATTCAAACTTAAATATTAATAAAATAAAGTAAAAATTATCAATTTGTCAGTTGTGTGTACCAATGATTTACACTGTTTATGTTGTATTTAAGCTAATCATCTGCAAATAAAATTCAAATTATATTAAAATATTATGTCAATATTAAAGATAAGCTTTTGTGTAATAAACAGTTAGCTAAATAAGCTGAAAGTCAACAATGTTAAGAGTCATCATAACTTGAAGCAGTGCATGCACTTACCCAGCACTGGGTGCGCCACTGGCTGGGAGGTCTGACATGAGCAAGTCATATCCACTGAGGCACAACATCACTACACTAGTCACCTCACCGCAAGCAATGTCTGAGCATCATTAACACTCACAGCCACTCACACCAACACTGTTTGTTTATATTGTCAATATATGCCTCATTCAGCCATTAATTTATCAGCTGTGCCACAAATTGTAAATCAAAATGAACTACAGATTGATGTTTATTACATCATTATATTAATTCACAGTATCTATAAATCAGAGCTTCTAATAAACATCAATGTAAATTATGAATTACTTACACATTATTTATTTATCAGCATATAAACAAAGGCAACTCTTATTGTATTCTTACTGAGAACCAGACGAGTTGGAATTGTTCACAAAAATGATAGATTCAAAGGCTGGTGAGTGGAAAACAAACATGTTCCAAATGTGTAAAATATGCAAAGTGTCTGTGACACAGGAACCATTAAATTTAAAGACAAATTCAAATAATTTAAAAACTAGCCTGGCAGATACAACTATCCAGTTTGAACACTGTTCAACAAAGAATGCAGAGATAAAACAACTTTGTGTGCAATCATGAGCATGATGTAACTCAGTCACTTGAAAACCTGTAGTCCTTCTAGTTTTATCACTCCTACCAGTTTGTTAATAGTTTGCTAAGCAGGTAAATGACCTGAGAGTAGGTACACATGGAACACAATGCCAGCACACTACTAGTGCTCATCACCTGAGCCCGGGCCGCCAACTGCTCAGGTGTACTGAGCACTCATGCTGACCTAACGGCCCTCACACTCACTATCACAATCACATCAAACACTAATTGGAACTGTTTAATGAGCCATTAACTATAATTGCTGCATTTAAAGCTGAGACAACACACAACATCCAGCCAGCTCTCACAATGCCACACTACCCATGTACCACAGTGATTAATACACACTCACAGCCACACAGACTGCACCAGCAGTGCTCCGCCGGCCGGGGCTCCGCGGTGGCCTGTCCTGGGTCACTCAGAGACACAGTCACAACCTAACCTCAAAATGCACACTAATATTAACAATTGACAAACGCCCAGATGTTAGCTAAGACGACATACACACACATGACATCACCCCCGTCGCGGATTCGCACGAAATTTTACAAAGAACGCGAACGCTGCCCGTACGAGGCTAGCAGTATGGATTTGTGGGCAAAATGCTTTGTTTGAGTAGGTAGGTACATACTCGCAGCCTTCGCTGCATATAGCTATAGATAGGTAGGCGCGTATGTTAGGTATGTGTAGTACACGGGTTATATGCACCTAGCCATAATTCACTCGGGCGTTTGGTGAGCGCCACGGTCGAGCCGCGCCGAGGCCGAGCGCCTCTCGCGCCGCCCTTTGTCTCGGGGGCGGCGCGACAGGTTTCGTGCGCCCCGCAAAAACTGTAAACACGATTCTGATTTACGATCCCGGCTGGCCGAGTCATTCATACGGGTGGCACTGAGGCTGAGCGGGCGGAGGCGGTCACGCTCGGCCGCCGCGCTCACAGCTCGATCGCTATCAGCGCTGGCCGCGGTGTCCTCGCCTTGCAGCACTAGCGCGAGCGGACGATGCGACCGTTTCGAAATGGCGCAACGCGGAGGCCGTGACGCCGCGACCGCACGAGCGAGAGAATGTCCGCTCGGCGCGAGCGAGAAACGAGCGCGGACGGGCCGTTTCGCAACCTCGGATGGGCTCGCGGGGACCGAAATAATCCACGACGTAAGAACGCGGGCGGAACGTCCACAGCACGCTGTAAGCGATGGGTGCGGGCAACGAGACATGATACTCACGGCCTGGCCACTCGCAGCGGGTCAGCAGCGCCGGCGTCCATGGCGCGCCCAGGCCCTGGCCGCGGCCGGGCTCCGGGCCGACGGCCGAGCGACGCAACACTCTCTCCGATCTCACTCGGAACGCGACGACGAACACCGTCGCATCATCTTGACGACACAGCACATCGACCGCGGCACTTTACTACGCGTATAAACACTCCGCGAATGGTGTTTTGTTACATCGGTTGACTTTTCTTTGAAAAATCAATATACATTTTCCCAGAGTTTAGAGATACGGACGAGTCGATGTCCAGCGCAGGTTAGGTGCGTGAAGTTTGCAAGCTTTTTTAGCGCACCGGTGTTACCAACATTTTTTTGCCCATTTTTTGTTTTGGGTGTTGTGATTTTTTTCTACTGATTTGCAGTGTACTTCACACTAGTCTCGTAGCGTTGGGTCTTCCATAATGCTCGCGTACCGTGTACAGTGGCGCCAGTGTTTGAAATTGTTTGGTTTGCTAATATGGTAATGTATTTTGTGTTCAAGGAGTATTTTTTAAATTATGACAATTAAATAAATTAAACAGATTTTATTTTCCAATGTATAAAAATGGATAACTTACGATCCTAATTACTTTTTATTTAATTAATAAAATACCTATATTTAGTGATACATCCATCAAGTTCGAGTCAAATTAAAAAGTACATATTTAGTATGATGTATTTGTACGAATATTTTCGTTTCATTACTTAGATTATTATAAAACTGACTCAATATGTACAAATATAAAAATGGTAAATACATTAAGCTAAGTGTTCCAGAAATTCCATTTTCTTCTTAATCATGTTCTCTGAGCGTAGAAAAAGCGTTTCGGAATTAAGTTGGAGGAGTTGAATCTCACTTTAAACATAAAAAGTGAAGAGATCACACCTCCACTTGATCCTTCACGCGTCGCTTAGTAATTCATCTTGGCAGAAGGCAGCAATGCTTCAATGCTGGCTTGAACTCCCGTTGACGAAGTGCCGTCGAGAAGAAGCGACTTCACGCGTGAGCTGGAAAGATAGATCTGGCAGCACATAGCTCAAACTGTCAAGATCCCCTGTCCAACTCAGACGTGAGGTCTAGCGTGTGGAGGCACTGGTGTTGACTCTGAAAATCAAAATGAATATTTATTCGACATGAACGTTGTCTGGTGGGTGTTTGTTAAGTGTGACAATCATAGCACGCGCGCTCGATGTAGAGTCGGGCGGCTCGCTATCACCGCTTGAAAAGGTGCGGCTAATGTTTTCTGATAAGAGCAAACGCTTTTCCCCCATCGCGTCAGCGACCCTGCACAGCTATATAGCGAATGTAACCGACACTAAATTATTATCACATTAATAAGATAATTTTGAAATACTGTGAGCGAGTAATCAGTCTGAAGCGAGCTCACACATGTGCCATTAGACCACCATATGTTATTACGTAATCGCCGTCGTTTTGTACTAGTAACAATACTAACTACACCGCAGAACTGTCGGTACGGCAGATGACTGCTGGGTGAGCATAAGTACCTATCTAACAACTATGTCGCAACAAGTCGATATGCGAGTGTAGTCGCCACGTCGACAGTTCTGGTGGCAGCACAAGAACAAGATAATATAAATGGATTAGAATCACCCAGATCCGTGAAAAGGAACGACACCATCAAAGGTGAACAGCAGAGAGGTCCCAGGTCCCACAGAGAGCAGCTCCGGCACTAGTATAACACGCGCAGCTTGCTGCACAGTCAATCGTAATCACAGCTCACACTCGGATAGAGACCCGATCGATCGATGGGCTCATATTTATACTTTCGTCGATATCTTCAGATATGATATCGGTGAACCGACACGAGGCACAAACGTCCACCATGATCGTGATAAGATTCGACGGAACGGGGAATCGATTGGCCCCCGTCAGCCGTATCAGGCGCGCAAACACTCCACTCAGCCAATCGGCAAGGTATCGGTGATAAGCGGCGGTGACGGTGCGCAGCGCTGCGGCCGGTGCGCCGGCGCCCCACGCGCCCGCACGCCCGCGCGCCGGCATCTGCTGACGACGACGCCACCACCTCGACTAGCTGCCTTGTTTACAGTTGAGATACACCTTTATTACATTATAATTATCTAGCTGCTGCTCTCTGATAATTTCATTACTTTCTTATTGTTCCAAAATAGACAAATCCGGTAGTGGATGCGAGTGCTACTGGAGCTTGATTTAATGATTCATTATGATAACCGTATAGACTAGGTGTGTCACTAATTAAACGGGAACAAAGAAATAAGTTGCAGGACCAATTAGTTCTCATGATAGCATAATATTACTTACTAGCCCTGCAATGACTCAATCAAATATTATTGGCGAGCAAACAAACATGGTCGATACGGACTTACTTTACTAGGATACGTGATAGGTAGGTACGTGGAAGAATTTCGACATGATAGATAAGCTGGTAAAGGCGCATATCAAACGGTGTCATTTGATAACAGCCAAGGTGTGTGCTTTCTGGAGCATATCATACACCTGTGCGAGTACACACACAACTGTCACACGAATTCGTAGGTATTTTGTAAATAGGTACGCGAAGTACCTGGAGGAATGATGTTCCTTTAGTAAAGTAAGTACTCATATATTTGCTGTTCCCAATACAATAATGTCACTGTTTCACCATGCACAGTGCACACGCCACTAAAGGCTATCCTATGGGATTGCAGCTGTATGGTCCCGCGTGTACCTGTTTTGTACATAGTGAATGAACGATCTGATATCATGACATGTAATGTAGTAATAAAGTAGCAGTTTGCCGGGGCGATGTAGCGATGTTGCGATGTAATCGTGTGAGTTGGACACACGTAACAAGCATGTTACAACTATCAGCGTGTGCGAGGTCAACCTAAGTGCTGTTATTGGAGTTATCTGCCTCTAGATTACCTGGCCGTCCAATGCGCACCGATCTGTGATTAGGAATATATTTTTCAATTTTATCCTCGATAAATGTGAGTCACATTTTTTATGACACTACGTGTAGCAAGGTGATGTTATAATTTGTTATTCGCCGCAATAGGATGGTGTGAGCCTCCTCTGCCTGTTGGTACCTTGTTTGATTTTAGTTCTACGATTTGAAACAGGTTAGGTTTATTCTTTGTACCAAGAATACATTAAAATTGACTCAAACAAAGTAGGTATAGGACTCATATATTTATTTCATAAAGTTCTTTGTTTAGAGGTTGTGCACTGATTGTCTACTTAAAGTAATTACCCAAGTTCCAAGTTTTACGCTGGTAAGAAAAGACCTGCCAAAATAATGAATATTTAACGATCACTATCTTGTTTTCTACAAGTTTATGCCTGTTTAAAACTTATATTTATGAAATTTTGTTAGATAAGTGGCATGTAATCTATTAAACCCATTCAACAGATAAGATTCTATTTCAGTGGTGTCTGTACCTGTAATGAGCGGTAACTCTAAACCTGAGGCATCCTATGGAAATATTACATAAACCTGGTCTAAAAATGCTGGCATTAGTCTGCCATTGATTAAAGTTTAGAGTCTATCTCAAGATTATTTTTTTTTATACTCAATACTCAATACTCAATACTCAATACTCAATACTCAATACTTTATTGCTTTCCACATGTATTCTTAGGTGGTAGTACTTATAAATAGTTCATATGGAACCTGTCGGGCACAGCAAAGTAAGTGGGATAGGAGGAATAGGATTATAATTGATTAGCAAACCTCAATGGGGAAGCAGCTACTAGAGGCTGTACTCAGGTGTCATGGCACTATTCATAGAAACCTAGAAAGTAGGTATTCAGCTTAAATTGCCTGATACAAGCAAGTGTAGTCTGTGATAAATATTTTTTTACAAACCGCTGGTGCTCGTTACAGAGAATGTAGTCCTAACGCTACCTGACAAAACCCCCATCCATCCTAAACTATTTGAATTTGAATAGGTAATAATTAAAGTAAATCTAATAATGTATCAATTAATTAATAATCACGTAAGACAATTCGACAAGTTCCTACTTCTGTGCTGGCATAAGTGACACTCGAACTGAATGGAGCACGAGTGCGCAACTGATGACACGGACGCGGGTGCGACATAAATAAAACAACTATGTTACGAGGTAAAATCAATCGGTGCAACGTCCGAGTGCAGCCGATGAATCAAACCTATACAAAATAAGAAATAAAATCGCGAGCAGCATGAATATCGCGAGCCGCCCGCCCTCCAGCCGCGGCCGGGGCGCCGGGCGGGCCCAGTGAAAGCGGCGCGTGGGGGTGAGGTGCGCCCCGCTGGCGGCGGCCGTGAACTGGAACTTTGGAAACTTCTGTCGTATTGTGTTTACATTGAACTTTGTTATGTGGGTTAAAGTTAAGCCAGAGTTCACAACGTGTGTGCCGCCCGCTTTACTCGATTGCAAAGTTCACTCTCAAGTTTGTCGTATCGATTTTCATCTCGTGTTTACCAAATGTTTCAAGGTTGCAGACATATTCTGATATATATATGACACGATGTATGAAGGCGCAAGTTAATGAGCCTGGCGATTCCTATGTTTCTGATACTCACCTATATGCTTCGAGCTAAACAGAGATATATAAGATCACATTATAATTGCAATCAAAGTCATCGTAGGAAACACGTGATTGAAGCAAAAGAACACTTTTAACTTGAACCGATTATTGCTTCGTACTTACTCCACTATCTATCAATTTAACTAAACCTGAAGCGAAGCGAAATTAATTGTGGGTCAACATTTAAAAGATTAAGAGATTTTAAAACAGGTAAACCTGATAAAATTCAATACTTATCCAGGGTTCTGTGTCATTGTTGAAATAGTCTTACCTACTTACAGTTTTATATCATCATCGAAACTTTCTGCCCCGTACAGCAAAACTTTGGAATTATGGTATTATTATCGGTACGACCTTCAAACCTTCAAAAAAACGAGCGTACTCCATCTTGTCTGGAGTCACAGGTGTCCATGGGCGACGCCAATCACTTAATTACCCTCAGGTCACATCATTTGCCTTCTATTCCATAAAAAAAACCATCATCATCTTCATCAGCCTATAAGCAAAGGTCTCTAATACATAGAAATATGTGAACATTTATCACCACGCTCGCTCAAGGAGCATTGGCGATTGCAAACTTACAATTAGAAATCATAAGTCCAGGATTCCTCACGATTTTTCCTTTGGTAGACTAATTACCATACCGCGATCTTTAAATAATAAGTATATTCAAGGAAACACCAGGACTGATGTTTAGGCGAAGTTGCGGGGCAAACACGTAGAGCAGCAGAAGGAACGTGGTGGTCTTTAGTCGTCAGAAAGAGTTTGGTGCTTCCTTTCGCCTCGCTTAGGCGAGATAAGTTGGTTATTGATATTTCCCTCGAAGAAAAAAGACAATTTTGAAATATCATCAGTAGCTATTTATCGATCCTTTGTCTATTTGTCGACTTCATAAAAATAGTAATGAAAATCTATAGTTTACTTTGACACATGATACAATTTATGAATTACATATAGGTATTTACGCAAGTATTAACGCGGAAAATTATTATTTGAATAGAAAGAAAGAAAGAAATAATTTTATTTGCACAACCTGGACACATACAAAAGTAGATAAAAAAAAAAACCGTAAAAATGTATCAAAACAAAAATAATTAAAAAAAAAAACAGTGATGTGTGTCTCAGCGTTGGAAAAATAAGCCCAGTTCAGCTTCGATATCGAGAATACCTTGGTAGGCTTGACGTATCTGTGCTAAACGTATCGTATTGTCTGGCGCTTCTTCGTGGTCTTACTCTTTATCACCATTCAGTAACTAGGACTGCAAACCATGTGATAAATGTCAGAACATACATACATATTTACCTACAAGAACTGTTTGTCACATAGTCCCTGGGAATACAACACGCATGAGATTAGGGCGCGGGTATGAGCTCGCCGCTCGCCGCCCGCCGCTCGACACCTTATCTGATAACAGCCACACCTGAACCTATTTTTCGTTATCACTCCACAGGTTCCTGATAAACTTTCTCTAAATTACTTTTTGCCGAGAATAATGGACTTTAATAACTCGATGTTATATAGGTTATTCATAAAGTAAATAATGTAATACTAATATTATAGAGGTAAAATTTGTAAATTTAAGTTTGTATGTTTGTAAGTTTGTATGTAGGGGGTAATCTTTGGAACCTTTGGTCGGATTGCCAAAATTCTTTCACTGATACTACAATGATTCTGAGTGCTACTATTAAGTGGAGCAGTAATTATATACTATTTACTTACTAATTAATATTAGTAGCAGCAATTAGCAGCGGGTGAAACCGCGCGAGAATAGCTAGTATTAAATAATTACTATAGGTACTTAATCCCCGGATCCATTAAAAGGACTTTGCCACGTTGTTTTTTTTTGCAGAGTTATATTCATACGACTTAAGTATTTTTGAAATGTCAAAATAGAATAATAGCCTGTCAGTCTATTCGTTAGTGAAGCTTTTTTCATTCTCTAAAGTTTTCTTGGCTATCCTATTAGACGGAGTATGAGTCACGTGTGCTCATTGGATATTGATATTTATTTAATTGTACTTATCCAGTGAACTTTGTTTCGCCTTGAAATGATAAATCCTTAATTTGGTTGAATGGAAATTGTTTTTATTTTGAAATGATTATATGTTATGTACATCGATCACTAATAAAGAACGTTATATTACTGTAGTGCCTATATTACCTGTAGTGGTCGTGGTTTTCTTCACGATCTATGTACAGCGTGAGATTTCAAAAAAAGATACTTATCAAATTTTTAACATGGTCGGCACGGTCTAACACGTGTAGATAGGGTGACAAGCAACCATCAGGCAGTGCTTAAGCTTTGATAATACTGTTGGTAGTCTTAGAAATACTAATAAGTCAATAATTACATAAGAGACAGCCCATTGTACACTCTGTCTGATATTTTTACAGCTAAGTCGAGTAAACTATTAATTACGGTTTAAAAAGACTGAGAGCGGTTATTGTATCCCATATATGGCAATAGTTGCCCGCCCTTGTTGCAGTGGGTTAGGACCCATGATATAACTTGTGAAAACTGCAACACTGTAAGAGTTTCGAGAACCCCTGCCTACACGAACTCTTAAAGATAAAAATAAACTGACGTTGATACCACATGCGTAATAGGAGTAAGTACTTTGAATTAATTTTGAAGTTATTGAGCTTATCGTTACCTAGAAATCGAACGCAAAAATTCAGACTTGTACTAATGTTGAGAATTTTCCGTCACTTTAAACTGTTTACTTCACTACTTATTACAGTTCTGAACTGATATGTACTAGGCTTTTGATCATCATGTATGTAGTTGCTGTACATGGTTTTCGTTAATGCGTACGACCAACAGTATCTAACAGCGAATACATGCTTTCCATCTTTGTACCACCAGGCAATCGGCAAAATGACATCCTGGCTCCATTGTGGATCTCCCACATACGTGCACAAAGCAGTTTGCCAAAAAAAGTCAAAAATCATTTATTTCAATTAGGTCACTCAAAGTGGGCACTTTTAAACGTCAAAAAAAAAGGAAAAGAAAAAATATTTCCGTAGGCTTAAATTTATGCGTGTCAGTCTGTCCGTCTGTCCTCTAGTGAAGCTATTTGCTTGTTCCAAAGTGTAGATTCCGGTGGAGAACGAGCAAGAAATTCCATGGTTACTCTTTTTCAATCAGTTTTACAATTCATTCTTTTGTTACATCATTTAGTCGATTCAGATGTGAGAACAGTATAACAATAATGTTTAGGCAAAAAAATAGAAAAAGAAGTTAACTTCAAGGATGTTATTGGTTAGCTATTAGAATAATATTAGCTATAGAATTAGAAAGATTTCAATTGTTTAGACTAGCAGAATGTCGGTCCTATAACAGCTTGGAGTTGTCTTGCTCACTGAAAGGTCACACTGGCGGTGGCATGGGCGCTGGATCGCTTAATTCCCTATAATATGGTTGAGTTGGGCGATGCTGGTGTACGTGCCATGTTCGTGAACGGGCACCGTCAGTTGGGACTGGTCAGCTCCAGACTGTCTATTGTCCTTAAGGTTACTTTATTTTTATATTTGAATAAATATTAGTGTTACACTGTTCTCACATAATTGAACCAACTGTTTGTAAAAGGAATCTGTATGTGAAACTGATTTAAAAAGAGTAACCATGGAGTTTCTTGCTCGTTCTTCTCCATCGGAATCTACACTTTGGAACGAGCAAATAGCTTCACTAAGAGGACTGACCAACAGACTGACAGACTGACACTATATATTCAAAATTTTGTTTGACGTTCAAAAGTGCCTGTAAAGATCTAATTGGAATAAATGATTTTTTAATTTTTTTGACAGCCTGAAGAATTTTGTATGCCGGATTTTGTATGCCACAAAGGGTGTCTTTAAGGCCCGAGAGAATAGGTTGCCTATGTATAGGCATGCTCCATCGTAGGTTCCGTCATGTCTAACCACCAGGCGTGATAGGAGACAAATGCCTGCAAATTACAAAAAAAAAAAATGCAATCTTACATCTCATACATTTTATTGTAATTAAAATTATTTTGTAGCATTGGAACTGCGGCAAGATGGAGGTGCCTCGCTGCGTGGCGTACACAAGTAACCAGTATGGCTCAGTGTCATAGGCATCGAAATCATGTTCTACATGAAAAAAATACTTAATACTACTTATGCTAATAATTAATACCTAACAATCGAGGTTTGTTCAAGTTAAAAGTCTTTGAAAACACAGTCAGCAAGTTTTGTTAGGAATGGTAAGGCACATGGAACCCATTGCAACATACAGGAATGATCAGAGAAAATCATGTAGGTTGATGAATGCAATGAATTTATCACGTACTTTTTGCGATTTTTCAGATAATCAGATATATAATACAAAAATGTACCTACACAAACAAAATGATACTCTTGTGTGGTTAGGAAAATAATATTATATTTACTAAAACGACTTTTCTTTTAACTAATGTTGTATTAGTGACGGGCATTTATATTATTGTTAGTTTGATCTGCTGGGAAACCTTTAGTTCCAGGCTCAGAGTGAGTGCGTGGCTGTGGAGTAGTGCGGAGAGAACGTCGGCACACACGAGCATGCGCCGTTACTTGAGCCACAATGGTACTTCGGCTTTATCTCGTTTTTTACACTTTATTTGCTGAAGGCGCACGATAAAGATAAAGATAAAGTGGCAGTCAACGCTTTTATCGCGAGCTATCGCGCGAAAACTACTCGCTTCAGGAAGTTATACCTTGCTCATGCTAATGTAATTACTATAACATATATTATTATGTGACGATATCGTCATTCGTGTATTAGAATAATATCTCTAAGTCGGTACCCTCAAGTCTTTCAAACAGTTGTTGCTATTGATGACTTGCACAATACTAAAGCAACGAAAACAAGTCACCTATGTTGCCATTTCTACATCAGATCAGCAGATTATTAAATATAAAATAAATGAACTTTAGGCAGTTTCTTATAGACGATTACATATCTCATCTATCACACACAAGAAGCCTTTCTCGAATATGACATTATATTCTCGAACTTAGACTCTTTGCGTATTGTAGGCAGAAGTAGGTATGTACCTTCTTATCTGCTTAAGTATTTGTTAAAAATGTATAGTTAGTAGCTATAGTATTTACCTTTAACCACCATGAACAGACTTTCAAATTTTCTACCTTCTCGGCAGGTAGCGAGAAATGTATGTAGGTATCCAATCACATCTGTGTACTGTACTTGACCATTAGACATTAGGTTTCCTAATATTAGATGTTACGAATAGAACTAAAGCATTCCTCGAATATGCGCGAGTGCTTCATGTAGGTACATTTTCAGCATTTTTCCTACCTGAACAATAGCAGTAGGTATAATACAAAAAAAATATGTCTTTAGGTATTGACATGCTGCATAGAGCAATAATAAAAAGCTATAATACATTAACCATTACCTATTTTTTTTATAAATATCGAGTAGGTATATATTTACTTATACATATTGAATTTAAGCTAAATGACGTCGAAAATCTCCAACACAAAGTCAACAGCACATTACGAAAGTTTTCAATGTTGTGAATATTAGCAATTTAACTGAAGTAAGTTAACTTTACAAACATTGTGTTCATTAATCAAAAGTTTGGCGCAGCGCCTCACATCCTCCATCTCCGCCACCGCCCACCCCTGCTTCTATAACTATCAATCTACGTATAGAAATATTTTCAGTTTGGGTCTCACATAATACTCTTTTCAACCATTTAATAATTGGCAACCCATGCCTCAGAAAGGTCAATATTTGACAAATGGCTGCCATCTGTCACTTTCCTGCGGAATAAACAGTACGGACGGATCGCTTATTTATTTTCATATTTTGTTTTAAATAATAATGGACATTGATCAAATTTGTCGATTATGTTGTTCAACAAAGTTTGTCAACAATGATATTTTCGATGAAGAAAATGCGTTATATATTAAATTGTCCTTATATTTGCCAATAAAGGTAATGTTAGTTGTTGTGATGTTACGTTTTTTATATGATGTTTTAACCTATATGATTAATGATATTAATGTTTATTGATAGGTTTTCAGAAACGATAGGCTTCCTAAGAAAGTCTGCGATAAATGTAGCTGCAAGGTGAACGATTTTTATCAGTTTTGTAACGAAACTATTGAAGTACAAAACAGGTGAGTGTTGTGTTTGGTAAACTTTAATAATATCATTGATGGATATTTCACCGGTGCTAATATTTCATTGTTGTGTTAATTGATAAGGACAGGTTAAGTGAATTGTATAGTTTTGCATATCATAGTAAACCAAGAGTAAGAACAAAATTTGGATAAAAGTTTCATTGTTTTGGTTTACCTTTAAAGTAAACAAACAAACTCGTAGTGACTACTGTAGATGTTAATATTATATACAAACAATTCACAATCATGATTATACTTGAGCACAATATGTGATGCTGATTTCAGGTTGCACAGTTTATTTCTGCCTTCTGAAGCAGGCAACGATGGCTCTGTGGACCTCACACTAGTAAAAGATAGCAGATCGCCGCCACCTCCTGCCCTAGCGGAGCACTGTGAGAGAAGTACCCAGACAGACAATACAGATGCAAGCTCTGACTGCAATGCTTGCATTCAGGTCAAAGAAGAACCAACGCCTGTTCCACCGTCACCTGTCAAGCAAGAAGAAGATGATTATTATAACGTAGAGTCTGATCCATATGGGGGAGGTTCTTCAGGAAGTGAGGATATTTCATTAATTAAATTAAAAACAAAAGAGACCAGCCAGAAAAGAGGTAGAAAAAAAAAGTCAAATGAAATCAAAGATTGGGGGGAACTGATGAACTACCTACCAGAAGGTGCACTGGCAGTTGTGAGTAAAGAACAGGTGGACATGCCACTAGCTAGCATCAAGGAGGAGCTGCTTACTGAAAAGGACCAGCAAGGGAAGGATGGGGATCTGTACAATTGCTGCATTTGTTTTACTCGGAGCTTCAGTAGGTCAGAGATGCTGAAGCACTACAAGTAAGTGCAGGAGCATTGTTGAAGCATGTGTGTTGACATTTATTCATTTAATGTAGTAGTAGAAGTACTACTACAAATCCATTTAGCTAACTCATGCAAATTGAGATGACTAGTCTTACTCAGACAACACATCTGTTACCATGAGCACCTGGCGTGGTGTTGCAGGGCGCACGGCAGCGAGGCGGCGGCGGCGGGCGCGCCGCAGGTGCCGGCCGTGCCCGACCTCGAGCCGCTGCGGTGCACGCGCTGTAGGAAGGTCTGGCTTTATCTTTAAATAATCACAACTGCCAATTCCTGCAAAATCACAACTGCAAAATCCTGAAAGACCAAGCTATATAGAGATTTTTGAGTGCATACATTGCTAATTAGATACCCCTTTGTTGAACCAGATAACCAGATTGTACTCATGTTTACAACCAACAACTTGGTCAGTCGACACATCATTTATTCTTTTTATAAATTTAATATTGAAAGTTATCTGTTACCTACAAAATACCCGAAAAATATTGTTTTTAAAGGTCGGTACTGTTAATGAAACTTAATATCGATCTAAGAGAAATACCCTAGTTTGATTGTGTCGTGGTTGTGAGGTACGTGTAATGAGTGTAAGAGGGTGCAGGTGGTGTCCCGCGCGGAGTGGGGCAAGCACTGGCTGCGACACTGGGAGCGCGACCGCCGCCCCTACCGCTGCTCACTCTGCGAGAAGACATTCCGTGACCCCTACCAGATACTTAAACACGGTCAGTGCACCACCACACTCTCAAATATTAAAGCACTAGTTTCTGCATGTGCAATACAATAGTGACTTTCTGCATGTTTTTGGTTTTAACCACATAGTTCCCGATATCATGGGGTTTTTGAGAAGTTCTCGCTTGCGCGGTATTTTCGGGATCCTATCCTTTCTCGAGCGCCAAAATGTCTGTACCAAATTTCAAACAAATCAGAACAGTAGTTTAGGCATGAAGAAAAGACAGATAGACAGAGTTACTTACGCATTTATAATATTAATTTGGATTTATTTACTCCTAACGAGGCCTCCTTACTCCTTACAATTAACTCCTAAAGAGGCCCTTTTAAAACGTTAATGTTCATAGCAAAATACAGATTTGTATGGAGAAAAGCGAACAAAAAATTTAATCTCCAAACGGCTTTCTGAAGATTTGAGGATTGGGCGTTCGGTAATGTTACTCACACGGTGAAACAAAACCCTGGCCTTGTTTGTCTGTAGTTGCAAGACTGAACGTATTCATTATACTCAACACACACTCGTATGTTACAGGGAAGACGCACAACTACGAGGAGGGCGCGTCGTCCGAGCCTGTCAACAAGCGGTTCCTGTGCGACCAGTGTCCGGAGGCATTCGTCCACATGCGGTGAGAATGCAATAGATCTCAACACCAACATGGCCGATGTTCAGCCGGGGACGCCGGCCGGTTTGATAACTTAATTTCCCCCACAACAAAGAATTCAAATGTTCTGCGATACAATAAGAGTCAAGAGTTTCCTATCAGTACAAGTGCCATGTTACAATCCCAACCAGATTCACTTCTTGCGGCCAATATTATAATACGATACTGCCACCAAACAAACAGTGTAAATATTACGGTGTATCTTAAAATACCGTTTCAACAATGGCTATGAGATAAAAGCGAAAACCCATCTTATATTATTAATAAAAACCGGCCAAGTGCGAGTCGGGCTCGCGCACAAAGGGTTCCGTAGCAGCAAATGTAATAAACTTATTATGTCAATTTATACACCTGGTGAATGGAGCCTAAACTCTCCCGATATTTTGCCTTGTACTTTTATTGATTCACCGGTACAATTTCAATTGATTGATTTATTAGGGAATTTATATTATTGGGGGATTTATTAGTACGTGACCGGTTTAATAGCACCTATTAAACCAGTATACCTACTTACTTATTTTTTATAATAGGTACAATTCAATATTAAAAAGTCTCAACGCCAAATTCGACTTGCGAAAGAAGTAAATGGGAACGATGAAATTCTCTTAGCGCGCACAAGTGACAACGACGTCTGCCCTCACGTGTCTGCCCGTTCGGGTCGACGCGGTTAGCTATCTTATCCCCGCCCCCGCGCGAGACCACGCCCCGCAACTCACGCGCTGCAGCGCAGCGAGCGACCGATCTTCTTGAATCGATGTGATAATAATCTATAGGATTAACGCGTTTTAAAAATATTGGTTCGATGGATATGTTTAACCTATTATTACTCAACAATCACATTTGTAATATTAAACTTTATCAAATGCACAATGTATTTAAGGTACATTACTGGATAAGGATTAATGGCGTATTGCTTGAATAAGCTAATATTTCTCGTAAAAAGTACCTACATTGTAAAGATTTTATATCATCGCGGATTTTTAAAGGTGTACAATACTGTAGTATATTTTTTGATCTATCTTATAAGGTTCAGCCATCGTTTTCAGTGTAAGCACAATAACTTAACCAAAATTACAGTTAAATCAACCTATCTCAAAAACTATAAGAGATACTTTGATCAAACCAAAAATCGTTGAAAGAGTTAATTAGCATGCATCACCTCTATTTTTTTTAGAATTTTATACCCCGTAGTTATAAAAATAGAGGGGGGGGGGACATACTTTTTACGACTTTGAGAGCTGATATCTCAAAAACCGTTCACTTTAAGAAAAATGTTTTTTAGAAAACTTTATATCATTTTAAAAGACCTTTCCATTGATACCCCACACGGGTATGTACATCGAAAAAAAAATTTTCATCCCTCAGTTACATGTATGGGGGGCCCCACCCCCAATTCTTTTTTTTACTATTTAGTGTCATAATTTTGTAGCGGTTCATACAACACATATTCCCATCAAATTTCATCACTGTAGTACTTATAGTTTCCGAGTAAATCGGCTGTGACAGACGGACAGACGGACAGACGGACAGACGGACATGACGAAACTATAAGGGTTCCGTTTTTGCCATTTTGGCTACGGAACCCTAAAAATTGCAAGTTTGTTAAGGGTAGGGGCTTTGGAACCGCTCTGGTCGGATTTCCAAAATTCTTTCACTGATGGATAGCTATGTTTTTCCTATAGGAATGCTATAGGCCATAAATTTTAGTGAACTGCGTATTTTAATCGTGCTATCGCTTTAAACGCTGCTTTTTTTAAAATACTGGGATACTTTACTTTTATACGCTTGCAAAGTTGCGGGCGGAAGCTAGTATTCTAACTCAGAATACAGAACAAACCTAAATATAATATCTAAGTATATCAGATATAAGTGTGGGAGAGCCATGCTTCGGCAAGAATAGGTCGGCTCGACCGGAGTGATAACAGCTTTGTATTTCGCCGTGTGAGTGAGGTTACCGGAAGCCCAACCCTTCCCCTCCATCAATCCCTAAACCTCCAAATCCCTAATCCCTAAAAGGTCGGCAACGCGCCCGTAACTCCGACGTTGCGAGTGTCCATGGGCGGCGCTGATTTTTTTTATGTAATAGGTCAGCAAACGACCAGACGGATTACCTGATGGTAAGCAATCAGCGCCGCCCATGGACACCGCAACGGAGGGTAGGGTAATCTTGGGAAATACGTTAACAAAGTGGTAGCTGGTATTGTTAGCAAAGAGCGCAACAAATAAGATTATATTATTAGTGACCATCACTTTATATGTACATATTTATTTTGTTTTGTCTATGGTGCTACGCTAGATATCATATTTTGAGGTAGAAGTTTATAGCAAAAGCTTAGGTAGCGTATAAATCGGAAACCAGCGCACCCTGGTACATGCGAATAAATGCTTTTGATTTGATTTGAACGTATTAAATGTTTCATCACAGTAGAAACCATTTCGTTACTTATATTTATTTATTTATTTTACACTTGCACAACATATAATGGCGGACTTAACGCCTTAGGCGTTCTCTGCCAGTCTACCTTTGGGTGGTGGAGAAATAGGAGTGGTGGGTGCATCTTTGTTTATAAAAACTAGGAAGAAAAAAAACACATGCAACAAAATTATTGCTCAAACATATATGTATTAATAAATATAGAAAGAAGAAAGAAAGAAAGAAAAATCATTTATTCGGTACAACACCAGGCACAAACTATACAATGCAAACAAAATAACTATGAATAAAAAAAATCAAAAAAAGAGCACAAAATATGTAGATGTAGGAAGGATATACAAAAAATTCCAATGTTAAATACATTAATAACAGTGTTGTGCCCGATAGCTGCACCAAAAAGGTCCAGTTCAGCATAAATGCCAGACATAGTGCCTGACGCTGATTTTCAACTGAACCTGTGGCTGTGACGCAACGGACGTAAAGCAGTTATAAGCGTGTGAATATAAATGTAATTTTTATGTAAATATAATAAATACTTATACCATCATACATTATACATAAACATATAATAATAGGGTATAACAATTAGGCGGAATGTATTAAATATGATAAAATTATATAGCGTGTGCATACATACTCATAAATAGAAAACTCGGGTACATTATATAATTGAGACATTTTGCACCACCATGTCAAGCCCTCGCTGTGTATCGATCAGGTATTTTCGCAAGCGTCTTCTAAACGTATTTAATGTATTACTCGATCTGATAGGCGGTGGGAGATTATTCCACACTTTGGAAGCCGCATAGCGAAAGCTGCCTCTAAAAACGGCTGTACCACATGACCTGGTTGTGAGTTGCTGTGAGCATTGCCTTCTTCCACATTCCCGCCGGACCGTAAGCCATTTCAGTTTTTTAAATAAGTAGTCCGGTTTCTGATATTTAACTACACCAAACAAAAGGCAAGCTAGATGCAGTTTGCGTCTTGATTTCATCTTAAGTACAAAATGTTCGTTCAGATATGGCGTTACATGCGTTCTACGAGGAATGTTGTAACAGAAACGAGCGCAAGCACTTTGGACCCTTTGGATGAGCCGATCGGTACGTGCTAACAGGCGTGGACCATACACTGTGTCTACGTAGTTTAGTCTAGAAAGAACTAAGGTCTCTATCAGCTGCTCCCGCAATGCCACTGACAGGTATGCTCGCATCCTATATAAGACCTTCAGGCGATAGAAACAATTTCTAACACAGTCTGCCACATGTCTTTCAAACCGCAAGTCTTTATCCATTATCAGACCCAAATTTTTTGCCTCATACACTCGCTCAATCTGTGCGCCCATCAATCTCAGGTCAAATGACGGAGGTAGCTTAGCCAGCTGCTGTCTTGAGCCAAATACCAAATATTTGGTTTTTTTTGGATTCAATGACAAGCAGTGCTCTTCAGACCAGGTGGCAATTGCATGGAGGTCATCGTTAAGATCCTTAATGGCATCATGGTATTCATCTGGACGGAAAGACATATAAACCTGGACATCATCGGCGTATATGTGGTATTTACATTTATGGATGCATTTAATTATATCTGCACAGTACAGTATAAAAATAATCGGACCCAAAATGGAGCCCTGAGGGACTCCTCTCTCTATTGACATATAAGACGATCTTAGAGTAGTGCCATCACTCAAACGCAAATCAACAAACTGCTTCCTATTTGTGAGGTAGCTGCGGAACCACTGCACGGCACCAGGATCAAAACCGTAATAACTTAACTTGGATAATAATAGGGGAATATTGATTGCATCAAATGCGCGAGAAAAATCCAGCAAGACGAGTACTGTACACATTCCCTGGTCCTGAGCTGCCAGAATATTATCTGTAACGTCTAGCAAAGCAGTAGACGTACTGCGTTGTCTCCTAAACCCAGATTGTAAGTCAGGAAGAATATTATGTTGTTCCAAAAATTGAATTAACTGTTGACTAACGACTTTTTCCAACAGCTTGGACAGACACGGCAATATGCTAATAGGACGTAGATCTTTCAATTCGGTTGGGTTAGAAATTTTCGGTAACGGCCTAACTGAAGCAATTTTCCATTGCTCGGGAACCGTTGAAGTCTCTATGGAACAGTTAATTATTTGAGTAATAACGCTTAATGAGTGCGGTAATGTCATATTTATCATATCCAAAGTGATATTGTCGTGGCCCTCAGCGTTACTCTTAAGATTTGTGACAATTCGTGAGATGACATTCGGTTCCACTGAAGAGATAGAGAAAGTAGCTGCACCGTATTTATTTTTCTCATAAAACGTCACCAACGACTCGTTGGCCGTAGGACTACCGGGTACTATCAAAAAATTTTTATTTATTTGGTCAGGATTTGTAAATTGTGATGGTAGATCTTGAATAGTTTTGAACGGCAACAAAGTGGATTTCAAATTTTTCCATAACAATTTTGGGTTTTTAATTTTATTATTTATATTATGCTTGAAGTACGCCACTTTTTCACTATGCAATGACTTACTTACTAGGCGCTTTAGTTCCTTATAGTATTTTATTTTAGACTCTATTTTATTTTTCCTACACGCACTTAGTGCATCGTCACGTAAACGCATCATAAGTTTTATGGTGTCAGTAACCCAAGGATATGATTTCTCCCTAATCGTGCAAGACCTTACCGGCGCGTGAGCATCAAACAAGGCGATCATTTTGGTGTTAAAGACATGAACCATGTCATTAACGTCGTCTAATAAGGATATGCACTCCAGGCCTAAAAGTGATAAGTCCTTGTTAAACCTTTCCATGCAAACATCTTTAAGAGGCCGAAATTTTACCAAGTATGGTTTGAATTTATCCCGCTTAATATGGAATTCACCTACTACAATAGAATGGCCATAAAGAGAATTAAGTGGTTCCACGGATACAAACCTTGCCATCATATCCGAGCAAAGAAGATCGATGAGAGTTTCGCTGGATGATGTGAAATGTGTGGGACTAGAGACCAGCTGCGTGAGATTGAAACAATTAAGAAATTCGTTAATTTTATTTGTTTTTATGCTAGCAGTATCCAGTAAATTAACATTAAAATCGCCAAGCAGAACGTAGTGATCGCAGTTTCCCAGTGAACTGATACAATCCGTTATGGCATCCAAAAACAGGACCAGGTCAAGCCAAGGCGGTCGATATGCCGTACCCACAGCGATTTTTTTTCCCGTTCAATGTCAGTGTCAGCCACATTTGTTCAACCCATTCGAACCTGGGATCAACCGCCGCAGTATAAATACGCGCGCTCAGTCCCCGGCGCACATAAAAAGCGACCCCACCACCGCGACCCGAGCGCACACTCACTGGCCGCGGCGTGTGACGTAGTCGATAGCCTGGCACCACAGGAGCCCTTCCCTCCTGTCCAGGTCGCAACCAAGTTTCGTTAATAGCCACCACATCAAAGCAATGTCTGCCCAGTGCCCCAATTAAGTCATCATGACCCGTACCCAGTGACCCAGCATTAAAAAAACCAACTTTAAAAAACTTATTTCCCATAGTTGTCATCATTGTAATAAGATAACCGTACATTATATTTAATATATTTAATAATAATTTCATAAAATAGTAGTGTTAGTATTAGGCGCTGTCTAACAATGGTTAACAACATTACAATAATATGCCTAGTGCAAAAAATGAGGAGAAACAAACAGACGAGTGGCGATACGTGTACAACTATAAATATGCTTCCAAATAATGCAGTAGTAGTTAAGTGTAGGTATCTATGTGTATTGCTATAATACTGGTTTACGTTCGCGTCACTAATAAGCGCTATGAGACATACCGATGCGAAACAAAACAGACAGTGAAATTTTTTGTATATACCCACATAGAACAGAAATGTGTTACCAGTTATTAAACAGGTAATAAAAAGTACAAACACCTTAAAATAAAGAAATAGTAAAAACATCATTATATCATTCAGTTTGTGAATAACTTGATATAGATATGCACACATCCGCAAAAAAGGTTCATAACTAATCATTAAAAACGTTACCAAACTACATACAGACAACACAGAACAATTAATGTGAGACAAGTGACCTAGGACATTGTAATACATGTTAGCAAACAGAACAAACAGGTTGCTAACCAAAAATCCTGCTAATGTCGGCCTCACATCGAACGCGCTCGGCCTTTAGGCCATCCTCTTTACGTGCCAAGATTCTCCCATCCTTCGTCCACACATACCTCCAATTGCTCCGAGTCCCCGCCTGTCGAGCGCGGTAAAATAGTTGGCGGTTAGTTCGCGTAAGCCGCTCATTAATGTAGACACGGTGCGCCTGCCCATTCATATCGAGGTCATGGGTACTCAGTCCGCGCCGCACTCGGGCCGCGCGAAGCAATGATTCACGCGTAGATCGCCTTGTGAAACGAACCGATATACTACGCGGCCGCTGCGCAGTGGGCTCGGCAGAGATGGTGTTGGTGACTCGATTTCGGAGCGTGGAACCAACGCGCTCGACGTGAACGACGTCCTTCTCATCGATGTTGACGCCCAGCTTTGTTCCGAGAATCTTAATCAGGTGGAGGGCGCTCTCATCCCTGCTTTCAGGAATACCTGAGATCTCGATGTCATTAAGTAACAGCTCTTGATCTCGGTCGTTTAATTGACACCTTAGTTCATCTATGGTGTTCTCCAATGAACCCTTCTCCGGAAAGACTTGTTGCTCTAGCCTTTGCTCGAGGGACCCCACGCGCATTTCCAAGCCCTCCATGCGCTCGTCAGATGTCCTAACAGACTCTTTGAGCTGCGCCATTTCTGTGCGTAGCTGCTGGAGCTCCTGATGCATCAGGCGAAATTCTTTACGCAGTTCTTCCTTAAATAGACGCAGCTCGTCAGCTAAATCTGGAGATAAATGGCTGGTGGCGTCCAGAGTTGTGCAGCCCATTGTGCTGGTATCTATAACTTCCTCAGAACTTAAGTACTCTTCAACCTGGGCAGCCCTGGTTCGTACTGGTGTATCTGCCTTATTGTCTCTCACCTGGTTTTTGCAACACTCAGGGCAACGCCAAGCAGTTCTGATCAAACCAGTGCTCGGGAGGCAAACACAAGCACGGTGGTAAAGACCATTACACTGATTGCATTTAGCAGCATCTAATGGCGATAAAAATTTCGCACAACCACCGCATTTTGCAGTAGGCATTTTAATGCAATCGGATATTTTAACACAGTGGTTTTCTGCTTAATGTCAATAGATGTCACTGTATACGTTTATTATTGTTATGGTGTTTTGGGGGCTAATATAGTATATTGTAAACATACAAGTGCTATTGTGGATAATAGAAGAAGATAGAAGATAAGGTGTGTGGGACCTTAGTATCACTTCACGGCTCGTTTTTTTAAAGATTACTCAAATTGTTTCAATAGTTTTAAAGTATAGGGTAGCTTTTATTCACTTTTATTTAGTTCTAAGTTTAAACACCAATAAACTTATAATCACTGTTCTTTTAAACTTGATAACACTTAGTATAGTGAGATACTGCTTATTAAACTAATTGAGCAAATAATTGCTTGTTTAGAATAGTTTGTTTTATTTATATTTCCACTGACAATATTTAGGTGTACCGATTAACTTGACGTCCGTGACGTCACCCTAATATATATATATAATATATACTAAATTGTTATTCAAAATTGCGTTTTTTCCAAGTAACTTGTAGTCCGAGTTCCGCTGAAAGGCATACAAAACAGTATACATATAGATAGTATGATCAAACATAATAAATACCAATAACTTTAAGTAAATTATATTTCTTTTTATTTTCTTTAGTTGGATATCGCTACAAAGTCATTTCTCTTTTAACATAACTTAATACCCTTTGTAATCCAACTGACCAGTTTTGTGAACGCAATTTTTACTTTTTGACTGGAAATAAATAGCTTAAGTAATTCATTATTTTTTTTCAAATAAACCATAGATATATATCAAAATCAAAATCATTTATTTCAACTAAACTATAAATAGGTACTCTTGAAACGTCAAAATAGAATAAGTAGTCTGTCAGTCTGTTCGACAGTGAAGCTAGGTGCTCGTTCCAAATTGTAGTTTCGAATGGATAAGAACGAGTAAGAAACTCCATCGTTACTCTTTTTAAAAAAATATTATTTGTTTTACAATTCACTAATAATATTTTTTATACATTATTGTACCCCAATGTGAGAACAATGCGGAGACAAGTTGTTAATAAAAAGGAACAAATGAAGGTATCTAGGTATTTGTGTAAAAGTCAAAATTTAATGTATTAAAGTGTTAATTTGAATACAGAATAACGAAAAAGCTAGTATTGGGGTGTCCCTGCCTAGAGAAGAGCAAAGTATTTAATATGGAGCGAAAGTTGGAATCCTGTATTCAGCATGGCTATTTTGTCGAGGCTAATTTAGCCTTGCCCCTCTCGCAGGTTCCTCCTGTCGCACCGCACGCGCGCGCACCCCGAGGCGGCGGGGCGCGCGCTGGCGCTGCGGTGCAGCGAGTGCGGGCGCGCGTTCAGCCACATCAACTCGCTGCGCCGCCACCTGCGCTCGCACACGGGGGAGCGCAACTTCCTCTGCAACGTCTGCGGCAAGGCGCTGTCCTCGCGCGATCATCTCAAGTTCCACATCCGCATACACACCGGCTACAAGCCCAACGTCTGCAAGTACGTCACTGCATTACCCTTCACTAATCCCTGTCATGCACAAACACATAGAAGCCACTGATTCCACCGGAACTCTTATTTAACTTACCACCAGATATAGTAAATTATTACAGTCAAAAATAGTAAACGATCACCCTAATTGAGACAGTATTTTAATGTTAAATAATAATCAAGGACTTGCTTTTTAAAAAAGTTGACTCCAAAAACATAATTGATAACCCAAAAATACCCGCGTAATCCTAGAAGCATTTTTTTCCATTATTCTAAAGTAATAAGCAATGTAAGTACTAGTGAATAATAAGTTTACACATTATATGTATCTTTTATTTTACCTACCTCGCTTAGACTTGGTGATCATTTACTACTTTTGGTGTTCGAATACAATTTAAAACACAATAATTAAAAGTATGAAAGCATTTTGTGGTGGTAACTTCTATCCACACATGTTTGATAATCGCGTAACTATTGTAACATGGTTATGCGATACATCGCACGAGTTTGGCGTAGCGTATGCTCGCCAGCTCGTGAGAAGTGTTTGCACAGCTACAAGTAACGTCGCGCACGTTTCAGGACGTGTGGGAAGGGGTTCGTGAAGAAATGCAACCTGACGCTGCACGAGCGCGTCCACTCGGGGGAGAAGCCGCACGTGTGCTCGCACTGCGGGAAGGCCTTCAGCCAGCGCTCCACACTCGTCATCCACGAGCGGTCAGTACTTGCCGGGTGTGAGGTACCCGCCTCACGGCTGCAGTGTAGTGAGAGTGTGTCGGTGCAGGTACCACAGCGGGGCGCGGCCCTACGTGTGCGCGCTGTGCGGCCGCGGGTTCGTGGCCAAGGGGCTGCTGTCCATGCATCTCAAGTCCACCTGCATATAGCGCGCGCCCCCATCTGCTGCGCTGTCTGCGCTGCTATACTACGGCCCATCCCAATGACCACGGGTAAGCAAATTAATTAGCTATCAATGAGGTTTTACGATGTACAATAAATCCGCCCGTAGGTTGGATCTGATCCAGCCGGACTCGGCTACAAACGCAAAAACGTACCGCGACCCCGACCCGGAGCGGGAAAAGGAGTGCAGTGGTTTTTAGACAACAGAAGTCTGACGTCTGAGTCTGAGTCAATTGATAATTTTCCCCATCAAAAAGAAGGATAGATCTGATAACATAATGATAACGTATAGCACTCAAACGACTAAAACTGCTTTATTGTTGCTAAGTTGATTGGAAAGTCATTAAATACTATAAATAGAATTGAAAGAGAACTTCAAACATTCAAAAACATTCATAAACACTACAAACTTTTTATAACACCGGTGCACAAAAAGAGCCAAAACCGAACACAAATTACAGACCAATTTCTAAGCTTTGCATTGTTAAAGTTCTAAAGAGGATCATATTCTACAGTTAATTATTTCCTTAAATTTTTAAATAAGTTTCACCTTATCAGCAAGGCTTTTTAAAAACCGATCGACGGTCACTAGTCTAACTAATGATTATATTACCAATGCTATGGATGACAGCAAGCAGGTCGATGTCGTTTACACTGATTATAGTAAAGCCTTTGATAGAAATAGACCATACGATCCTAATTAGAAGCTGAAGTATGTAAGAATACGCGACGATTTACTAAGGAGATTCTCTTCAGTCATCGAAAATAAGTCCCAAGTTGTTGTACCTTATAATCCCATCTCCAGTCCAGCTGGGTTTTCGTACCCAGTGGAGTTCCGCAAGGATCGTTGCTCGGTCGGCTCGCTTCTTTACATAAATGACATTGATAAAGGCCTGCAAACGTAAAATTAATTGAGCTTCGCTGATGATATGAACATTTTTCGAAATATATCTTCAAATGTTATTGGCCTTAGGCGACTCGAAGCATAAATAAATAAAAATAAAATTAGCCTTTATTGCTGTTTAAACTTACAAACATTGACATAAATTAAACCTATATTCTTATAAATATTATCTTACTTATACATATCTTCGTATATCGGCGTTCGGTTCAAAAACAGCTTGTCTTTCGACATAGGCCTCCTCTAAAGATTTCCATTTCTCCCTATCTTTTGCTACTCGGATCCATTCTGGACCAGCCACCTTTTTGATGTCATCCTCCCATCTTTTAGTTTGTCGCCCTTTGCTTCTTTTACCATCTCTGGGGTACCATTCTGTTATAATTTTTGTCCATTTCTCTTGTTTTTCCCTTAACATGTGACCTGTCCATCGCCATTTCAGTGTTCGACATATTGAGTTTGCCTGTGTGAATTTTGTTTTGTTTTTAATTTCTGTTAGTCTAACTTTATCTTTTCGCTTGGCACCAATAACACTCCTCTCTATACTATTTTGGCAGACATTTATTTTATTTGTTAAAGTTTCTGTTAATGCCCATGTTTGACAGCCGTATGTTAAACATGGCAGAATGCACATATTGTAGACTTTTCTTTTTGCTTTAATTGGCATATCCCTATCTTTCATAACTTCACTTAATGACCAATATCTCTTCCACGTATTGGCTATCCTTCTATCGACTTCCTTATGCATGGTTCCCGTAGGTGATATTAACTGTCCCAGGTAAATGTATTCATCCACGTATTCTACCTCCTGCATGTTTACTATAATCTTTTGTGTCTCTGAAGAGTTAGTCATAATTTTTGTTTTCGCGATGTTCATTGTTAGTCCTGCTACTACGCTCTGGTCAGCTAATTGTTGTAGCATTTGTTGTAACGCTCTAGGACATTCAGAGAACAGTATCAGATCATCTGCAAAACGTAGATGACTTAGTTTTTCACCGTTTATATTGATCCCTTGTTCTTTCCATTCTAGGTTCCTAATTATCATCTCCAGAACTGCCGAGAATAATTTAGGTGAGATAGGGTCGCCTTGACGAACTCCTCGCTCTATTGAGAATTCCTCACCCGATTTCTCCAGTCTGACATGTGCTGTGGTCTTTGAGTATATATTCTTTAAGATTCTTATGTATCTGTCCTGTACATTTTGACCTCGCAGAGCTTCCCAGATGTATCTGTGTTCTAGGGAGTCGAAAGCCTTGTTATAGTCTACGAAGCCTAAGAAGTAAATTTTATTATACTCATTGTATTTTTGTAGAATTTGTCTGAGAACGTGGATGTGGTCTATGGTTGAAAATTTACTTCGGAAACCGGCTTGTTCTCTTGGCTGGTTTTCGTCGAGTACTGTGGCAATTCTAGACAAAATGATTTTTGAAAAGACTTTGTAAATGTTGGACATTAGACTTATAGGGCGATAGTTACCAATTTCCTCCTTATCTCCTTTCTTGTGTAACAAAATTATTGTTGATTTGGTCCAGTCTTGTGGAATGCTTTCGGTTTCAATAATTTCATTAAATAAGTCTGTTAACATCGGAGCAATTATTGATAAAGTCGATTTGAGCAATTCGTTGGTTATTTGATCGGATCCAGGTGTTTTGTCCGCTTTCTGTGTGTTTATAGCTTTAACCGTTTCTTTTTCCAATATTTCTGGTATAGGTTCAGAATTTAATGTATATGGTTCCTCTGTAGCTAATTTTGGATTCTTGCTTTTATATAATTCTCTATAATACTCTGTTGCCACCTTAATTATTTCAGGTCTTTTACTATGTTTCTTATGTTTAGTTTTTACTGTTAGCATCCATTCTTTCTTGTCCTTTAACTCTTTAATCGCCTTTTTTACTCCACCAGTTCTTCTTATATGTTTTTCAAGTGTTTGCTGTCTTTTGATTTTCCTATCTTTCCTTATGTTTTCATTTATCTTTTTACTGATTTCTGTTATCTTGCTTCTATTTTCTGGATTATTTTTCTTTGATTGCAGCAATTTTCTCCTTTCTTCAAGTAGCTGTTGGGTTTCTACAGATATTATTTTTTTATTTACTTTCCTAGTTTCTGTTTTAAGTACATTTACAAACTTTTCGTATTTTTCTTCAATAGGCGTGGATTTTTCTTTGAGTATTCCTATCAAGGTTTTTAAGTTGTTTTTTAGCATGTCGCTATTCCCAGTACACACCAGGGCCGAACTATCATTTTGCCATCTCCTGTTCTTTTGTATACGCTTGCCTGTCAATGTAGCACGAACCATTCTGTGGTCTGAATTGAAGTTCAGGTTTTGTACCACAGATACGTTTTTAATCTGTTTGATGTTATTCGACAAAATAAAATCTATTTCGTTTTTGTAGGCACCATTTGGAGAGATCCATGTCCATTTCTTGGTTACCTTTTTCTTAAAGAAACTATTGAGAATACTTAGTTTATTTTTTAGAGCAAATGAAATTAGCCTCGCGCCATTCTTAGTTCTTTTACCACGCCCGTGTTTGCCTATTGTGTATTCTTCACCTGGGTTTTCACAAATCCCTATCTGACCATTAAAGTCTCCCATCACTATGATCTGTTTATGGGCATTTTGAATCGTTTCTTGTAAGTCAAGGTAAAATTTTTCAATTTTTGCTATATCTTCTTTGTTACTCGATTCCGGTGGCGAATATGCTTGAATGATAGACCATTCTTCTTCTTTGTTGATAGGCAATGTTATATTAATTATAGCTATTCTTTCAGTTATTCCTTTAATTTCAATAATCCTACTAGCTAGTTCCTTCTTAATTAAGAAGCCCACTCCATATAGTCCCGGAGTCTCGCCTATGTAGTGTAGAATGTAGTTTCCATAGTCATTTATTGATTCTCCGTATCTTCTCATTTCGCTTATTCCGATTATGTCCCATTTTAATTCTGATATGGCCATTTCAAGCTCTTGAAGTCTCTCCGGTGTCCTTAGTGATCTTGTATTGAATGTTGCTATATGTAAATCTATTGTTTTTGTTTTTCTATTTTTCTTTAGAGGGTCTTGGTCGTTTTCCCCCACGGGGACCAGCCGGCTTGGGGGAAGTTTGTTTTTTGTTGTATAGTTTGATCCATTTTTTGGTTGTTGTTTCCGTTCGCCGATAACTAGTTGTTATTGTTCTTTTCCTGACGGGTGTATGGTGAGAGAGTTAGAGCGACCTCTCATCAATTCAAATGCATTAGTTCTGTTCTTCTTGGGTGAGAATGACGTTACCTGTTGCTTTCTGGGTTGGGAGTTTGCGTACGGAGAGGCCGAAGGTTCCCTTTTTCTTTTTTCATTGGCAGTTGAATTCTCTTTGATTATAAGTTCATCGTATTTTAAGTAGGCAATATTCCCTTTGTTTCGCTCTTCTTTTAGTTTTGGTAGTAAAGCCTTCCTTTTTTCCAGAGTTTCTTTGGAGTAGTCATCAGCAATATATAAAACCTTCGATTTTTTCTTGTTCTTAATTATTTCGCTCTTTTTCCAACCATTAGTAAAAGATAAAAGCGTAGGCCTCGGCCTTCCTTTGTTTGTTATTTTCCCAATGCGATATATTCTGTTGATGTCATAATCTCCCAAGGTAATATCTAATTCCTCTTGGAATTTTTGCTTCGTATAATTGATCAGTTCTGTTGTTGATTTTTCGCCCTCCTTCAATCCATATATTATTATGTTGTTGCTTTTCTTGTCTCTTTCCAAATATTCAATTTTATTTTCCAATTTTTGTATCTGTATCTTCAAATTTCTATTTTCTTCTAGTATTGGTTTTAATTTCTCATCCATTCTGTCCATTATAGTATTGGTTATAGACTCGGTTTGGTTCTGCATTTCAATTTTCATTTTGTTGAATAAGAGTTGAAATTGATCATCCATGTTTTGCGTGTTACGAAACGTAGTGGTAGATTTTTATAATTATTCGTTGGCAACACTGGTGACCGTGACGTTTGTAGATCTTGAAATTGACAGTGACAGTAAATGACGTTGTCAAATTGTCAGAAATGCCAACCTGAGAGTTTAAATCCGCTGTTATGGCAGCTAACCTCCAAATTCTGTTGGGTTTTCTGTTTTCGTATTATTATTGTCAGTGACAGTAATTACACAACGACGATTACTTCAATCAC